AGCTGGAGTTGTGCAAGTTGCCGAGGTCTGACTTTTTCACAGCAAATGCTAGTTACTCCTTTTTTTGAGCTTAGCAAGCGCAGACGAGGCTAGAGTCTCGACTGAGTTCCTGTTTTCGTCAGCGCTTGTTGCAAAATTTTCCTTTTCCTCGCTCATTCGCGTCATTTGCTCGAATTGCCAATTTCCATTAACTTCCGAATGCCAAGGGGACACACGACTGGGGCTCTCACAGGTGGTGTCTCTAATCGAACACACAAGTTATTCTCTTGCCAAATCGTTCCCTCACCTGCAGCTCCGCCCCTTTGAGTTCCATCTTTTTCGTATTCTTACCCAGGACTCTCGCTATTCCACAATCGATTTTAGTATCAACATACTACTTGTTGTCGCTTCCATTCTCTAAATGTCTAGGAATCTTTTTTGTGAACTCGGAAATGGAAGATTAGAGATAATAATCATCTTATGCCGCTGTTTGGATGAGTCATATTTACTTTTAGAGACATGTACCTCCAATCAGGCATTCGAAGTTGGAGTGAGTCTTTTTTGAATTTATGTATAAAGGCATTTTGATTTACTCTTACCAAGGCGCAGTTATAGCGAGTCCCATAATCGTCTTGAGAAAAAGTTGACCGAGTTTTGAACTCCATCGCGAAAATTGCATTTCAGTGACGAAGCAGTAAATCGATCTAATCTAAGATTTCTTATTGTTGGACTTTTCTAGGATATCTGAGACTTCTAACTTGACTCTTTCTCTCCAGAAATAATAAAGCTATGAACTTATAATCTAGCGGCAATTGTGGATACATGACTACATAACTTTTTTTTCAAAACTTTTTATTATGTAAGTAATTTTCCCGAAAATTTTTCTATAATATTGTAGTTTTTTGCAAAATCGAGGCTCCCAAATCCTTTATCTTGTTACAGCAAAATCTTTGCAAGCCAAATTGCTTTCGTTTATATTCTCCCAGATTCTGTCGCAACACATCAATGGCTGCAGTTCACTTCAAATCGAGTTTTCCCCGTTGGGGATAAACTTAAATATCCTGACATTTTTTGCGGGCGCTGACATCTATAGACATCTATATAAAGCATCATATACTTTCAAAAATGTTCTATAAATAAAGTCCTACAAAAATTCACTTGGCGTACAGTTCTGCAAGAATAAAACGAATTTATAATTGCTCTCGCGAAACCCTTGAATGGCAAAAATAAATTCTGCATGCCATAAGCACACTATTTCCATAAAAGTATTTGTCTTTCTATAACATCTAATCTTGCCCTTTCCGTGCCTTTTGGCACAAGCATTTTCTCAGTTGTTCACTTTTCTGAAGCACCATTATGTATGCTTAAGCACCATTCTGCCCATACATGCGTATTTCTAAAGGTTTTAGCCCAAGAAAACTTTTTCGCGCTAATGCATGTGAACTTGCTTTCAAGCTTTTGAGAGAGGCGACTTTCTTATGGCTGTGACTATGTTTTCTTGCTAAGCCGCAAACCCAATTTCCATACTTCTGACATCAAATGCACTTCAAGTACTTAGCGGGACTCTTTGCATGTGAACTTGGGAATTACATTTAAGGGTAAAGCTAGAGAAAAAATTATAACCTCTTTGGGAACGCGCTATAAGCAACTCAAGTATGAGTATATCGATTGCGCAAATATAGGTAGGCATGTTGGAAAAAAATCTAATAAAAGTTAGTAAAAAATGGAGCATAGTTGGTCATTCGTTTTGAATTCCTGTTGCACTTTCTCGAGAAACAAAATCGTCATATTTGATGTATAAGAATCGCAATGATCACTTAATGTCCAAAAATTTGCACGTCCTCTAGAATACTTAATGGTTCTTATGAATATGAATAGTACGTGAAAACATAAAGGACAATATACGTAAGCGCCACCGTTTTCACCAACTTGTGAGTGAAAATCGTTCTTTTGCCGATCCTACACTAACATGCTAATCTACTCATTTAGTTTTACTATCTCAGTAAGCTCACATACCAGAATACAAGTCAATAGATATAAACAAAAGTAATAAGCAGTATTCAACATGAAATAAAGCAGGGAAACGGGAAAAATCAAAAATTTTCCGACGGTTTCAGTCTCTTCTCTATGGTTTTAATGAATTAGAAGCACTATTGCACAACAGAAGCGACAAACACAGCAACAAATTATGTTATTAGAGAAGCAAATTTTCTTAAATTTTTCTTGAAGTTTACTCGTGCAGTTCTTGACTTTGCCGGAATACTTTGAGAATTTTTCATTAATCTATAATTTAAATCAGCTTTTTTTGAGAAAGATCTGCTCAAGATTGTTCAAATAATGTACAAATCGTTCAAATCACAGATTCATCCTATTCTCATCATGTGATCAAACAATGTCGTCCAACACATTCGCATTCATGAATTTGTTTTGCATGACGGGCCTATGGGGAGAATTTTTTGTCTTCTTTGAGTTCAAGTAAAAAAAAGCTTTTAGCTAAAAATCTCTTTTATTTGTGGCTTCAATTTCATTTGCATTATCAATCTGAAACTCAAGTGACGCAGAATGACATCATACGAATGGAAGATTAACAGAAATAAATTCCTAGTTATCCAATCGAGACCCAATATTTCAAATAGAAAGGCAAGGAGAAAGACCAGGTATTCTAAATAGAGAACTGTAAGTTAACCATTAATGAGTTCTTTTCATGCTTTTCCATTCCCATCTCATATTTCCGTGCACTTTCCAAAAGTGCAAATAATAGATTTGATGGAATTGTCGATGTTTGCTCTGCAATAACGTCAATACTTGGAAATTGATTTAGATCTACAAGTGCTAAGTGCCTAGTTTTTCCGCTCCAGCACTCGTATACATCTCCTTCCGTTCCTATTTCTCAGGATGCAAATGCAAATGCTTTGCTTTGCACTAGCGCTGTCGTGCCCGACGGCATCAATGGCCGTCATCCGCTGATTGCCTGAATCATCGAAGCACGTCGATTCTGATTATGCCCATTACGAATTCGTTTAAAAGCGCTTTGACGTAGCAATTTCCCTCGACACCTCACCGCTGAGTTTCGTTTATCTACAGCTTCTTTCTGCGAGTTTAATGTCAACATAAAAATGGCTCTACTTCGCCAGATGTGGTCTAGACTTCAAGAATGTGTTTACATCCTTTGTCTCAATTCAGTATCACAATGAAGCCAGTCAAGCTCAAAGATCTATTGGTTTAACAGATGTGATGGTGTACTATCTCAAAACAGAAGTATGATCTCCCATTTTTTTACTGAAGTGAAAATGCTAATCTTTTGGATAGTTCCTCGCTCAAGGTTCTTAAAAAGTGAAAACTCCTTATCGACGTAATCTTACACTTGATCGTGACTTATCGACAGTTCAACAATGTGCCCAGGCAATATCACCATAATATCTCTTGTAAAAATCTTCACCTGCCTTTTTTCTGAGCTTTTTTTCCGAAATCTGTACTATTCGTTCGCTGCAAGCACAATTTGTCCTTTGAAATGGATGCTCAAACGCCTGAATGACAGAATTTGCAGTTTTTCCAAAAATACAAATTGGAAATATCAGTGAATTTGACTGTCATGTTTGATATGTCGAAATGCCTATGTTTTTTCTTGATGAAAAATATATCCTTGAATTGAAATTAGATAAAGTTGAAGTAAAACTTTTCTTAAGTACTCCAAAGGATACTACTTTTGAAAATATTGTTTCTTTCATGTGGAACATGCATACTTTACAGAAAATTTGAGTTTCTTTCAATTTTTTGTCAGTAATGAATAAGTTCTTAACAAATTGAAAGGTTGTCACCTCAACAGTTACGCAAGTTATGTCCCGTCGAGTAGCTAGAAAGCGCAATTTCGAATTTCTTAGCAAACAGTCCCTTTCCTTCATACTCAAGCTAAAAGATGTTATCATACCAAGAATCTAAGTTATCTTTTTCCTATCAAGCTGCAACTGCCAACATTCGCTCTCAAACATTGCTGTTTACTTTCTGTGATGCTCTAGTGCTCAGCGTTCATTGTTGCTTTCGATTAGATCTCCATCATATCCGTTTCTGCAGTTTATTGATTCTCAAAATTCTAAACTAGCTCGAGTAGCCCTGCGTCTTGGCATCTGCTCGGCTCGCAGAACCAATCAACCGAGTTATTCACGAGTTTTTATTTTCCGTCAGAAATGCAGCATTGTCGCCTAATTCAGTAAGGCAAACCCGTGGGGATAAGAAGAACCTGCTCCTCTAGTTCTTTATCGCATATTTTCCAGGCTTTGCAAAATCCTATTTCTCGAGAACTGAAATTCTAGAGATTAGTAAGTCTCAAATCAAAATTTTTGAATCGCAATCTTTCCATTTTAATAATTTCTGAACATAAAAAAAGCCTGCACCTTCTTGAATTTTAAGCAAAAACTTATATTGGCAGATCATGGAGATACAAACTACTGAATAAGTTTTGAATTAAATCGTATTCTATCAAAATACGGTAGCTAATGCTGAAAAGCTCGAATTTGATTCTACTTTTTTGTTATAGTTTTACGACTTACTCTTTCTGAGTAATAGTCATGATTTTCGAGTTTTTTTTTGTCAGACATTTTGATTTCGATCCTCATAAAATCTTTGATATAGACTATAAAATGAAACATTTGATACATGTTGCAATTCAAAACTGAAACTTTCTAACCTTCTAAAAACGAATTCTGTTCAGTTTGGTGCAACCCTTATGGGCCAACCTAATACCTTGCTTCAAGTGGAACCTGTTACAAAACCTTTTTGACTCTAAAAGAGTGTGTCAATAATTCTCTCTGGTTTGCTTTCAACCTCTTTGAAATACAATACTCTGTCTCTCTAGAAGAGCTCCTTGAATTCAATGGCACTGCATGCAAAATCGACTAAACGTTTTTCTGGGACGCGAATTCGATGCCGTACTTGAGTCACCTCGTATTATTCAACTCCTTTCTACTATTTTCGCGTTACTTAGCATTGTCAGACCCTTAAATGTACTCAATTTTCCTCATTTGCAGAAATGACAGACACAGAGTTGAGACAAACGCAACCGACCCTCTGTCAACGAATCTGCTGCTGTTTCAGTTCGACTTCCAAAGAGCCACCAGTTCAGCTAATACGATGTGAGCAGTTACCCAACCTTCCCGTCATGGTGTTCCTTACCGCATGCCTCTACAGAACACTGTGATGCATCCTGATATACCGGCAAATGATGTTGATTGTAGCCGAAACACTGCATGCATCCACTCCAAAGACGAATGGGCAACACATTTCGGCCGCTGAAGCGTCTATCGATGGTTTCGAAGATGTGAATTTGGGTGAGTAGCTCGAGAAGTTCCTGAAATTTTGGCTCTGGTATCGCAGAATTGTGGTGGGGAAAATATGATGACTCCACAGAGGTAAAGTGGTGGAAGTGATAATTCCAATATTCATAGATCTGAAGGGGCGACAAAAATTTTTACCCAATTCCTTGACTTTTTTTATTGATAAGTATGGTACTGTAGGGCTTTACTTGCACGTGGGATGGGCAGATGAGATTATTTTTTTTGATTTGTAAGCTATTCACATTTTTTACGTTATGAGTATGAGTCATGTTGGCAAAACGGCGGCTTAATCTGTTGCTTTTCCCTAAAGCGTTTTGTTTATAAGGTTTATTTCCTCGACAGCTTTATTCGGTTGTGAAATAGTTATTAGGTTTGAAATAGTAATTTTATCCGAGTTTGCCATGGAATTAACTTTATGCTGGGCTCCCTAAAGTACTGTGGCGATTCTCATCTATTTATTTTTGGGTTCCTCTTCTCTCTTTTCTTGTTGGTTCATTTCCTCACATTCTTTTTCCTTCTCTACATAATCTTTGATTCCGTCCATTTTGTGTGTCAAATCAAAAACCCTAAATCTTAGCCAAATCGTTAAGCATCACAAAATGTTTTAAATTCACGTGTTACTCATAAAAACGAATATTGACAATTCTGAGGCATTCGGATTAGTGTCACTTTTCTTTGTTTTGACATTTCTATAATGATCGTTTCCGGATGCAAATCCGCGAGCGAATTCCTTTCCCTCGACCATGAATCATCAGTGTTGACACAGGCGTAACCTCTTTTCTCTACCCCATCTCTCCACCCACCCTTCTCGAAATTTTTATCAGTTTTTCAAAATTCTGTATGAAGTTTGAACATGAGCAGTTTGATAGCTGAGTACCATGCAAAAACTAGCAAACAGATCAGAACGAAGACTGTTGCGAACGTAATCACGCGGGTGAAGTACTGCAAATAAGCATATGGGTAAATATTGCATCAACAGACTTTGAGCAAACAGTTGTGGTTTTGGAGGAAGAGTTTTTGAATTCAAAAGTTGGAAAGGGATTTTTGTTTACATTGAGCACACGCATTTTTTCGCGCAAATTCTTACGTTATTTCATGTCATCTTGATTTACTCATTTTTTTATCTAAACAACTTATGTTCTCGAATATCTCTACATGAGAAAAACTTGCATTTTAGCAAATATTCAGTTAAAAGATTTTCCTTGGAACTGAATACCCATTCGTTTACAATACAATATGCACAAACCATGGATCCAGAGTGGATGATAAAAAAGAAGTTTTGATTTTTTTATGATGTGAAACCAAACTAACTACCTGAGAACAAAATTCTTTGGACTATAAAGATCGCGCTTTCAGAATTATGCCACTTCATTCGCGCTCCTCCCCTTCCTACTTTATTAGAAGCTTCTAATACTGAAAAACTCTTCAAAGAATTTCATTTTTTGCAGTAACGTTAGTAAGAGTCGTCCCCTCTTTTCGAACTCGTTCAGTAACTGCTGATCAGAGTGATTTCTTAGCGCTGCTCATTCCTGATCAGCTTCAAGTGGTTCTGTTTATTCTCGGCATCATCCTGTGTTGATTTTGCGACACAGCTTTCAAGAGCGGCACGTATTAGCTGCACCAGAATCAAACATTTCTGAGAGAATTTGCATTGAAGTCATGGAACAGGCTGTGTAAAACTGCTTTACAGATGTCCGGACCACAGTCGCAAATTCAAGTCCGAAGGCATCGAGGGTGAAAAAAGATGATCTCAACGATATCAATATGACTGATATTATGATGGAAGAAGTATTTCGAGAAGAAAAACCGGAAGATGTAGAATGCGTCATAGAGGTGAGATTCAATATGCTACTATGACAGATCTTCTTCTTTCCTGAGAATTTTTATTCATGAATGGCCGAGATCGGATCATCCTGTTTGTAATCAAAGGCTCTCCCGCAATCTTTTGCACATAAGGGAAAAATTTCAAATAGTCTGTGCTAGGTCGCTATGTTTGGTCGGTCCTACCTAACTACATCATCCAAGTTCAAAACATGTAAGATTAGAAAAAGTCACAACTCAAAGTGTAGTGGAATATAAAAAGTGCGTAGTTGCACTTCTTGTTGTGGACTACAACTCTGAAACGTGAGAATATTCTTGCCGGAAGTGCTTTTACAAAGGAAAATGTCCGTTATTTCAGAAAGATTATCAGTTAGGAAACGCGGCTAAGTTCCTGATGGCTAGCGCATTGAAGTTTTCTGTTCCAAGAAGAAATCATAAAATGAAAGCTTCTTTTACCATGGTCTATCTCCGCAGTAGAATATATGAAGCCCGATCAAGAATACGATTTTCAAAATCCATGGATTTCACGCTATATGAAATAGTATTCATATATCTCCTCACTTGCTTTCTATCACTGTAAGCATGCTCTAATAATCATAATAATAGAAGGCGTCACGGAATACGCTGAACTTTGTTCAAAATTCTCTTTTGTGAACAGTTTTCATTTTGAGAGCATATTGTAGAACGACAGAGATGGAACTGAAGAATGATCAGATTTATTTTCATTACTGTAGATTACCTAAGAACTTTGAAAAGAGTTTGCGCCAATGAGAGCCCAAAGAATTTCTCGAATGTGCTGAAAAGCTTATCTAACATGTACAACATTGTACTTTAGAATCACAGAGTTTTTATAAAACCCGCCGCAGGAGTTTTCAAACGTTTCGAAATATTTCCGAATTGGCAGCTGATCTGCAAATGGCGTCATGTTGAAAGTTTTATCGTAAGCCTACAGTAAGGAAAGGTGGACGAATTGCTTTGTACTCTAAATCCAAGTTAAAGCTAGCCCTAGCATAAGCTGTGTAAAGATCCGCGATAGTCGTTTGGATAGGAGAGTTGTTGGTGGTTTTCGATGCATTTCTTTGGGAGATCCTTTATAGTATATCTACTTATATCTGAAGTATTGGCATAAAAAGCAGAAATGACCTTGGTGGAGCATCAGCGCATTTTGCTCTTCTGCAATTTTGATCCACTAGATTCGGATGGGATTCAACAGCCTCGTTGCTAAGTACAATGCATATGCGTTCTCTCTAATCGAACCTTTCGCTTCGTAGGTATAGAAAGATTGCAATATAAAAGTTAGGGCAGAACTGAAAAAACGTATTTACGAGAAAAATGCGGCGCTGTTTCAGGATGCTGTTTCTATTAGCACCGACGTCATACAAGAAGTAGACGAAACAGAATTATCACGGCTGAGACTTCGCCCTTCCATGGATACCCCACCGCCAGAAGAAAAAGTCAAAGAACTCGTTTATGATCCCGAGAAGTCTTCACACAATAATGATGACGCTGATGCTCGGCTTTCGGAAGAACGTCCATCGAATCTTGCATACCCCGAGAAACCCTCACGCACCGATAATGATGTCGATGGTCGGCTCTCGGAAGAACTTCCATCGACCTCGAGATCAGAGGAGACATCAAGTCAAGCTTCTAGTGAGACTGAGTATGCGACTCCCGTAGTGGAAGCAGCTCCGTTGACAGTGATTGTGGAAGAAAAAACAATTGAAGTGTCGGAGGAGCAGTCGAGGAGTCCCAGCATCATCGAAGAGACGTTGCCCTACTCAGAGCACGAATTGGGAGAGGAGAGAAAGGAAGATGCAGACTCGGCCTCGTCCATATCCGAAGAGGAAATCATGGTGGTTTCACCGCATGCTCAGAGTAAGTTTTAATTCTTTTTCTTCGAAGAATCATCTCTCAAAAATTAGAGATCGAAGCGGAAGATGTACTCAGAAAGTGTATGTACAAAAAAAAATTATAAAACAACAAAATTTCACCCTAAATGTAAGCTACATGGAATTTACGCGGTTGTGTAGTACTATAAGTCAAAACTCATCAATCTTCTTTCAGTCCTTTCCTTGAATATCTCGAATAACCGATAGCTCATTTGAGCTCCCTTCTCTTTACTTTTGTGCCACTTGAGAAATGATTCTTGGAATTTGAAATCACAAATTGTTTGCTCAAGCCATAAGAAATTCTGGCAAAAAAAGGCTGAATTTACAACTAGAGAGTTAGAACTAGAATTTTCAAGTTTGTGCTGTATACATAAAATCTTGAGAGGCAGTTACTAAAAAGAAGGTGCTCATGAGTATAGCACGCCGGAATGATCTAGATCAATTCTGGTCACAAAACTACTTTCACATCAACAATTACTTTCTATGCTTAATCATAATCCCCTACTTACTGGAGTGGATAAAAAAACAAAACATATTTTTCTCAATATATTCTATATGACCACTCGCTTGCAGAAGCATTTGAACCTACCACATTTCCTGCAAAGTCTATAATGTATGCGGATACGTCGTCTGATGACGACAGCGACGAAGAAGAGGAACGTGAGGTGTTACCTCCAGTACAAAGATCGCAGAAAATAATGGATTTCGACAAGATAAGTGAACCGACGCAGAATGGCAGACTTGAGAGTGAATCAACGCTGGCCTCAAACACCTTCGGAGATTCCGCTTCGGAAGACGAAGAAATTGTGGAGAACACTTTGAAAATGCCGAAGCAGGTGAGGGTGCATATTTTTGTTCTGTCACTACACAATGGAGGATTTTCAGCAAACCTTAGCCGTAACCAGAATTGTGGTGAGAGACGACGGCCGGCCTGATGAGCTCACCTCCGGCATTATGAGAGTAAACCTCGATGGCAGAGAGGCCATTACAGACGAGGAGTTCTCGGAAAAACTCATCTGACGCTCACCAGGAGTTTACCTTGGTTTTTCTCGCCATTCTTGGGGCGTTGTTAGCTCCTGTAGCTCCTGTGCAAATATATTTTCCTAGTCATTCAGCAGTTCGTTACTGAGAGATTTGCTCAATTTTTAAATATGCTTACATAAAGATTTCAAGTACTTTGACCCGACTCGCATCAGAGTGTTATGTTGCCGGCCTGGAAGATGCAACAGCAAACGATCTGTTCGCTGAAACAATAAAATCTAAGAAGTAATTGGCCAACATTCCAGGCATTTGATAGCAACCCAGTTTTTACAATGACTCCTCTCCACCTTCAAATTCTTTTGAAATATCCCATCAAAATCTCTAGACCCATCAGAATCTCCAGATGTTTTGTAGCTTTTCATTGCCGTTCGCCCAGCAAAACCATGAAAAGCTGGTCAAACAACGAAAAAGAGTGATAGGACTTTGAACACTGTGTATGACGACGTCCTCTGCAGGTTGTCTCGTCACGTATACAGGATGTTCCAAAAGTAAAATATATTAGGTTGTCCCAAAAGTTCTTGCGCCGGATTTTCAAAAAATCATAACTTCCCTGCCACTCAATGGATTTTCTTGAATTCAATTTCATTTGAAAGAGGAAACCTTTCTCTTTACAGCATTACCTTTGGCATGAATTGGTATTGGAAAGTTCCAGAGCTAGAGGCAATTGACCGAAATCAGTCAAAATTGGCATTTTTAAAGCTGGATCACGAAAAATTGTGGAAGTATTTTTATTTGATAGAGAAAATTCTGCACATTACAGTGGTACCTTTTTCATGAATTAAAACCGAGTAGATCGAGAGTTAGAGGCAAATAAAGAGAATTTCTTCACTTTTGCAATTTTTGAGCATGCTCAAAAAAGCTTGAAAACGTCACAAAAAAGGCGAAAAAGTCATAAACATGGATTTTGCGATTTTCCCTTTTTAGCTGAGTGAGTTTCGAGCTGATCGAGAGCAATTTTGATTTTCGTGATTTTTTCGGATTTTCGGGTCTGCGTTTTTCACTTTTTCACTTTCGCTTTTTCTGTGACGCTTTCAAACTTTTTTGAGCATGCTCAAAAATTGCAAAAGTGAAGAAATTCTCTTTATTTGCTTCTAACTCTCGATCTACTCGGTTTTGATTAATGAAAAAGGTACCACTGTAATGTGCAGAATTTTCTCTATCAAAAATACTTCCAGAATTTTTCGTGATCCAGCTTGAAAAATGCCAATCTTGACTGATTTCGTTCGATTGCCTCTAGCTCTGGAACTTTCTAATACCAATTCATGTCAAAGGTTGTAAAGAGAAAAATTTTCTCTTTCAAATGAATTTGAAATCGAGAAAATCCATTGAGTGGCAGGAAAGTTATGATTTTTTGAAAATCCGGCGCAAGAACTTTTGGGACAACCTAATATTAGGTCGTTCCGAAAGTAATGTCGCTTTTTTCAAACGAATACCACATCTCGTGGAATAAAGAAATGTAAGATTGTGATAGCATTTGATGCAGCATTTCATTCTCTTTCTAATGGTTATATAACCACTGCAAAAAATTTAATAACCTTTCGAAAAATTATCAAAATCTGCGACCCATGCTTTTTGAGAAGGCCAAGTTTCACAATTTTTCTAAATGTTTATAAAAACCCTCGGAAGGAACCCAAGTAGTGGATGGATAGAGCAAACCCTACGCGAAACAGCACAACTTTTTTCTACTTTCCAGATCTCGTCATAATTTTTGTATAGATTTTTTGATAGAACCACCGAATTTTGGCAGACTCGTCTCAGACACAAATGCATCAAACACCAAGAAATCGTCGGATTTTGAAACTTACAAAGATGAATTATGGTTTAACACTAATTTTGCAAAGCATATGAGCATTTACCGCTTCAGATTAGCAACTTTCGGAAATTCCGGGTGCAGCCGGAGGCGCCCTGGAAAACCTGAATTATGATGATTTTATCCCGGAAAATTTGATGAGTCGGAAACAAAAAACAGCTGGTGGAAAGAGGAGAAAAAGCTGCGTCGAATGACACCCGAGTTGCTTGCCGATTGTTGTTCCGTGAGGTTTGAGTTGACCAAATATTGGAATGAATGGCATTTTAAAATTGATTCCAGGAACTCTAGAAGCAAGCTAAGGAAAAGAGAAAACTATTTTTTGTCCTATAGGGTTTGCGCTACCTACCAGTCACTTGTGCTTCTTCGGAGAACAGGTACAAAAATTTAGAAAAATAGCCGAACTTGACCATGGCAAAAAGCATGAGTTGCAGATTTTGTTAATTTTTTGAAAGCTCAATGGAAATTATGCAAAGAAATTACAACCATTAGAAAGAGGATGAAATGCTGCATCGAATGCTCCTTAGATCTTTTCAAAATCTTGATTCCATGAAATGTGGCGTTCATTTGAAAAAAGCGACATTACTTTCGGAACGACCTAATATATTCACTTGCGTTCACTCTATCGATTGTATCGATTCCAAAATTGTCAGCATTGGCTAACGACTGTACTACAAAACAGATCTACGTTTCGGGGCGACAATCCTTTTCCAAAATCTGGAAAGCGAGTTAGTAGAAGCGTAAACCTTGATGACACAAATGAATGTTCGCCCACAATTCCGACATAAAGTGCCAAATCACTGCTTGACTCGTGTAATGTGCTTTTCCTTTCGAGATAGAAACCACAAATTTGTAACAATGGGACGAGCTCAACACTGATAGCGATTTTTTCTTCCTTCCGGTTCATTTAGGACATTTGAGTGATATCTAGCAATCTCTACGGTTTTTCGTAAGGCAGTGTCGATTTCCTTAGATAGAATTGCAATGCTAACTTCAGAATCTATGTTCGGCACGGTATATGTGTCCAGAGCTGCAGACACAACCATCATTTCATTTCTGACTCTCCTCAGACTTTCGCTTTTTCTTGTACACAACTCCTTTCCTGGTCCTCCAATAAGCTTCCTTCCATACAGTCTACAAGATTTAAAATACACAACAGTTTCTTTGAATAGCATGTAATGCAGTTCTTCTCGAACACGCTTTATCGTACTTCTACTTACATCAGGCGCAGGTAGAGGTTTAGGGCCGGACTTCGACAACTCTCAGCGAATTCAAGACGGCTTCACGAACTCGGGACGTAAACGCAGCGTTCTACTCTTGAAATACGAAAGGTGCACAGAAGGCACCGTATCGTTCCTGATATCATTGAAAACTTTGGCATTACAACGGACTTTCGTGCTGTTTCGCATTGAGTATTTGCTCGTGCAATTTGGCTAACCTGCTTGTCTGAAGCGGTACGAGCTTCATTAGAAGACACTCCAAGATTTGTAATATATTTTTTGTAGTGCTGAGTTCTGACATCGGGTGTGCGGAGGAGAAATGTACAACGATGTTTTTGATGCTTGGTTTCCTGAATCATCTCCTTTTCTACTCTCCTTTGCATAAGCAAATCTTTGATGAGCTGTAAACATCCATGCTTAGGCATTTCCCTTGTGAAGTTGACCTGCAGATTAGTTGTGTAGGCCAGAACATAAAACCGTTTATACTTGCGTTCACAAACCATGACGTTGTCATCGATGCACCTGTAGTAAAGATTAGTTTGCGATTGAGATTGGGTTCTTCTATTTGTGATATGTAGCTAATAAAAAGTTGATCCACAATTCAAGTGTAGTTCTCCTATCTATTTGTCTAACCACCAAAGTGTTACTCATATTTGTGGATTCATTCAGTCGTGAGTCACTATTTTTGACGTTGTAACAATATTTTAAAAAAATGCCTCTTCGTTGTAGTTTGGGACTAAGCTTGAAGCCAAACGACTAAGAACCCTTCGTATTGAAACATAACATTGAATTAAAGGTTGTGTCAGGTTACGCATGATCTTCTCCAATCCTTCTTCAAAATTTTAAGAAGAAAGCAATATAAGCCGACCGACATTTAGGCGGGCGCTTAGTAACTGCAACATAATTCATCTGATCGACATAGAAACTTGAAGTTGCCGAAGTCACGATAATCGGGTCATGTAAGGTTTCTAGAGAACTGATTCAAATTCGCTAACGTCTGCAAATAAAAAATTACAGTTACCACAAAAAAAGGAAGAAGTACACGAACAGAGGCGCGATATAGAAAAAATGAAGTGAAAAAGGCGCCACTTCGCATTTACGCCATTTCCCATTGTGCGTTAACCCGCATTTTTAGGGCAGACTATCTCAGCTTTGCGTTTAATGCATATTTTGATACATCAGCGACTCCCAAGGTTGTCTGCTTTTTCCAATCCTGGTCTTATCAGGAACAAACGCACTTTGGCGAATGATACAGAGCATCCTTGGTTACGGTTTGTCGTGGTATGTTATGGTGTGATGTGCTCAGTGATGATTGTGCGGTTGATGTGGCTGAGCGGAACGGCTTCGTGATTTGTGATTCGATGGGTTTTCTAATGGATTTGGTATGGTATGATTGGAAAAGTTGCGATGTGATCATATGGAGAAGTACTTGGTACGAGTTCCTTGACCAGACATGGGTGGTCGAATTGAGGTGATTAGTCTAAGGAAGTACGAGGTAAGCTATCGTGCATTGCTATGCTGAGTTATAGGAAGTTTGCAGCATTTGTATACAAGATTCGCATGCCACGTCTGTTTTTGCCTCTTTTGTTGTAGGGTTGCATTGATGTGATGGTGATGCAGCGGTGGAAGGTCACAAATATCTTCGTACATACAGGGCTTTGAAGAAGGTGGAGATCGAATGTAAGCCAAATAAATCTAATCCACATTTGTAGCCTTCGCAAATACAACAGCTCCTAATTCATAGTCAGGATCCATAGACGGTCGGACATGGAATTTGTTTCATAGTGTTGTGGTATGACGTTATGCTGAATGAATAATGTAGTGTTGCGGTTTTGCGTGCTGTTGTGTGTGGTGGCCTTTATGCGTTTTTCTAGTGTGTGCAGTGTGTAGATGCGATGGGTGTGGCGTGGTGTGATGGTATGGTATGCTATATGTACCACACTTTTGCTATAATTTTGAGGCATCCCGGGAAATTACTGACGAGAGGCACCAGGAAAGCAACACTATAGGT